ACACCGGAAACTAGCACACAGCCCATGAGCCTTCCTGGAGGTCTCGTTCGAAATACGAGAGAGAAAAAAGCTGAGCTAATGCTTTCTTTGTGGTAAAGCCACTTACTGAACTTTTCTCTCTTCCTGACCAGACTCAAGCTCATCTTAATTACTGTATTTTCATACATGATTGGAGATAATCATCATAGACAAAAGCAAAATATTTATCTATTTCCATTAGAATAATTGAATGTTGACACAATTCATTATAAAAGTGAATTTGTACTATTCTTTGTAAACAATAAAACAACGTTTCCTAATATAGGTGTTGTGGTGCGTTATCGTTGGCATTTTTCATGAAATAATTATAAACGTCGTTTGGCTAAGCCATCGAAAGCTGCTCTTATAATAAATACTATTGTTGGCTATGACAACGCTTATAATTATTTCATCATTTCCTAAACCAAAACAAGGAATATTACAAGATGCTAAGAGTATCTTCATTTCACGAGACTGAGTGTGGCCTATAGTGAAGTCATCCGAGCAGCGCAGGGATCGCCGGTGGTTAGGCGGAAGAGCGGGCATGATGGAACAATTCTCTCCATATCAATAAAAGCAAATTAATCATTATTATTTTTATTATTTTTATTATTATCATCATTATTATTATTATTATTATTATTATTATTATTATTATTATTATTATTATTGGCGTATAGTCCATTACTGACCACCCTTCACGATTAACGTGTGTAATTCTTCCAGGATCAGCTTTTCATCTGTATCCTTGGATTACAACAAGGTTGTTACGCCTTGTAGTGTGAATTATGAGATGATAGTATGATGATGATAGGTCAAGGGACAATCACAAATATGACCATGTCTACGCAGGACACGAACCTGCAGCCTCCTCGGCACAGACAACGGCTGCCGCAACCGTCTGCGCCACGGGGCCGACATTATTTTTATTATTATTATCATTATTATTTTTATTATCATTATCATCATTATTTTTATTATCATTATCATTATCATCATTGTTATTATTATTATTATTATTATTATTATTATTATTATTATTATTATTATTATTATATAGTTTCACAGTTGTTGATTATTATATCGCCGGGGAAAGGAGGGGTGGGCGAGTCGGCCGGATAGATTGGCCTCCCGCCACTGCGCGGCGCGCCACTCGGTCCACCGTCCCTGCGCTCTCGGCGCTCCCCTGTAAACAAACCGCGCTGGCCAGCGCCCGGGGCGGGCGGGGTGCGCGGTGGGCGCGGTTTCGGCGCGGCCCGCGGGCTGTCTTCGGAACTGACGGCCGCCGGGCCGCCGGCCACCGATGTGCTAGGCCGCTGCGCCAGAAACATGCGTAATTTACGCCGCAACGGGCCCGTCCGCCGGGTGCGCCGCCCCCGCGCCGGCCCGCATCGCCGCGGGCGGGCGGGGCCAGGCGGGGCGTCCACCGAAAAATTCGCGACTATCGCGGAACCAGATCCAGTCCGGGTGGATTCGCGCGTCGCGTTGGGACGGTCCGCTGAGGCGCGAGGGGTGGGGGTGGGCGAGGGCCGGGCGGATGAGACTATGCCCTGCTATCGCCTCTCTCAACAATTAAGTTGTCAG